TTTATATAAATACAAATTTTTTTTTTTTCAGTTTATTCAATATTGCTTGATTTTACTTTTAATAATTCACGGAAATAAAACTCATGCTCTTGCAAGCAGCAGACTTTTTTTTTATTTAGAATAGAAGCATTCAATAGAAGTGCAACGTAACTTGCACACAGCTAGCTAACGTTAATAATTATTAGTAAATCATTAATTAAGTGTTGTTTACGGCGGCAGAGAACGCGTAATATGAAACCGTACTCACAGTCGTATCGAACATGAATTAGATGTACAGTAGCTTCTTCCGCTTCTGCACGCGTTTACATGTAAGCTTTATCTGATAATTTTTTTTTTTAACCATCTAGGTGAGAGAACGCAGTGCTCGCAGCGTACCTATGGGTCAATCGCGAGCCTCGCGTTCATCTTTAAGCGCCGGCACGCCCGACAGCCTTAGCGACAACGAAAGTTCCTTCAAGATATCCTCTAGGAAAACCAGCACGCCTTACAGATCTACCGTGACGCCTGGTAAGATCTCGAATTTCAATCTACAGAAACACTATTATTTACAAAATAATGATAATAATCTAATTGCTAATTATATGCCACGATGCCCTAAACAGGTGGTAGCCGTCCATCCAGCAGGCCAGCATCAAGACCTGCCTCTCGACCAGCTAGCAGACCGAATAGCCGGCCTGCATCAAGACAAGGAAGTAAACCGCCCAGTCGATACGGATCAACGCAGTCGTTGGATGGTACGGTTTTTTATTTTATATTTTCTGATGTATTCCTACGTTTTGTGTCGACGAGTCTAAAAAGTTATATATCTGATTTCGTGACAGACGATTCATGCACTCCGAGTCGTATCCCACGAAGAACCATCGTGGGCGGCTCTGGCAATACCCCGACGTCCAGTAGACACAACAGTGTATCTGGCAGGAAACTTACAACCCCGATGAATGGCTCGAGCTCTCGACCCCGCACTCCGACGGGATTAATCAGCCCTGCCAGCGGAGTGCCTTCCAGGTTTGTAATTCTCAATACACGTCATCATACGTCGAAATATCTAAGATAAAACGTGAACTAACTCGCATTAGTGTGCCTTAAGTAAAGATATGCATAACCACAATTGTGTGCATATGGATTAATTTGTGTGGATATATGGAAATCGAGCAGTAGTACTGCATTTTACGTCAAACTAATTGCGACGATTCGAAGAATATTTGATATGTGTCCCCGAAGAATCAACGATTTGCCTTTCAATTTCTTATTAGTTTGCCCCCTTCTCTATTTTGTGTTATTCTATTTTCTTTTCTATCTTTTTGTTTATTACGATTCCACCGTGTATCATTCGACACGTCACGTGAGATGTTCAAATATAAAGAAATAAAGTCCAATAGAGCTGAGACGATACGTTTAATACTGGATTGAAATTCAATTGATCGAACCTCTTATTACATTTCGTGTTAACCGCAAAACAAGACTAATTGATCGAGCATTGTATTTTAATAATTATTAACAGATCTGGTTAACAACCTTTTTTAGGTTTGGCTCAATCCATAGAGCTTCGAGCATTCCAACCCTGACTGGTGTCGGAACACCTATCAGGTAAAGCAAATTAACGAATCGGCAATTTCATATAAAACTGGGAAAGCGATTCTGCAGCTTTCATTTTGCATCTTGCGTTCTGTCATTGCAAGCTTTATATATCAACAAACAAAAAATGCCGCAACATGTAAAATAGGAAGCTGCGAAGTATTTTGTGGTGTAGGGCATCGCTTTTTACAAGAGATGGTTTTAATCATGGTGGCGGTGGTACATTTAAACTTATTTCTTCATTATTATTTTATTTCGATTTTTGTAATTGTATTTCCCCGTTTTTTTTTCCTCTTCATTTCTGTCTTCGTTTAATTTATTTCCATACAACAAGAAAAGGGATTTCATTATCGCATACTCATATGCAATATATCCGTGCAATTAAATAATTTCGTTTCGTGATAATGCCTTAGCCGCTCTAGGATACCCGTGTATGTGGGGGTGGATATAAAATCTCCTCAGTCGACCACCAGCAATATGTCGACTCATTCAACACAAAGCAACCATTCTACAATTTCTACTGATTCCACTGGGTATGGCTGAACTGGGTGCTCTTTCAATAACCCGTTTTCCATTTCTTCTCACATTTGTTGAATGTTTTACTTTTGTCTTTTTTAAGCATAGTAGAAAGTTTCATAATTGATAGCATTATTTTTAATATCTTGTGTTTGTTGTATGTATGTCTATCTCATTAAAATCTAATCTTGAAATTATAATGCATGATTTTGTTTTATTTGATATCATTATTTAACGCCTTATGTTTTGTTATGTCTTTCTTATTAAAATTTTTGATCTTGAAATTACATATCATTGAAATTACATATGATTTTATTTTATTTGATTTATAAAAATAACTTGCTTTTTCTCTTTTAATTTTTACTATTTAAGCAGCTTCTCGCTTTGTTCATCCTATCAACAATGTAGTTAATAATTTATTAATTATCGTTTTGGCATTAGCTTCTGTATTCAGTACAAATTTTGTATGATTATAACTGTTTTATAATTAAATCACCGACTAACGTTTTTTTTTTCACAACACTAGGAGCAGTTCCTTGTGTACAAATTCAGCAACTAACATACCAACAGCCATTAAGCAAGCTAGGTAAACATTAATATTCATTCAGAAATTTTTATTTCTGTCTTTCATATGTTCGCTGAAAATTTGCCTAAAAAAAGATATCAATATCGTTTTGCATCTGAGCTTTATCTTCGAAAAATTTGTGCATTTGCTTATGTCAAAGTGTTTGTTTCAGAGTACGTACACCGTCCAGTGGATCCAGCACACCGCTACCACCGTCATCGAAATTGTCGAGGAAACCTTCCGGAGCTTCCGACACGTCTATGTCGGGGACAACTCCGAGCACACGGAAGGGAAAACCCACTCCGATCGAACAGCGCGCGCCGTTCCGATTGTAATAGCTTATTAACGGATACATATAGCTTGTAAAATGTGCCCGAATATTATGCCCGAACGAGAATAAATATAAAAACATCCCCGTCGCAAGTTTAGGAATGATCGCATTTGCGAGGTGGTTGTTGTATATCGAGATGGAAGTATGCATATATTATGCGAATGCTAAATTGATGATAGATCAAAATTTGATAGAAGACAAATGATGACTCTAGAAGTTATGATATGATTTTATCATTTTGCTGAAGTTTTCATCAAGTATCGAATGCCATTAAAATTATAAATACCAATGAGTATTTCATTACTCTCTTAGGGTAAGGGATTGCAAACAGTTTGGGGAAATTTATTTATTTCGTGCCCGCGTTAGAAAGTGCTTAAAGCATCTATCTAGTTTATAATAATACATAACAGTGAAATAAATTATATTGTTATAAATACCATAATCTTGGTATTACCGAAAGTGCAGGGTAATGCTATTAATTGAAAATATTTAGGTGAGATAAACAATATCTTCGCCAATTTTCTCGATAAGGACAATACTACTAAAAAGATTTTAGCGTGAAGAAAGAAATCAACGTTATATGTATTATAATTACGCTTATGTTTGATATATATATATATAAATATATAACTAGATGCCTGTGTAATTACTTTTATATAATTTAGTATAATTTGCTCATTTTGCACGCATATCCTTGCGTGTTTTATACATCGCGTGAACCATTGAGGGCTTTCTCGATGACATTTTTGAGCAGTATACTTGAGCAAATTATATATGCGAAGAATTAATTTATTTAATATTTTCTGCTTGACTTATTGTATTCGTCGTGCGACGTATAATTAACGTTTAATGCGCATTTGTTAAAAAAAAAAAGAGAAAAAAGAGAAACCTTGTATGCGATTTTAGATTGTGATGCAAATCATGATCCGACATTCATTTTTTGTTATCCGTTTCGCAAATTGCATAGTACGTATTCGATTAATTATACTTGTAAAAATCAGATAAAATATTTTTATTTTTTTCATTTTCTCATATATCAAAAATGGAGTGAACCAAGATTTGTAAACGATATTAATTAATTACAATCTCTTTACAAATCTGCATGATATAGACATTATCTAGATTTTCAGAAGTATTTTGATATATTTATGTTCTTGCGAAACGGAATATTGTAGCTTTTTGAAAAAATACGACAGTAATCAAATATAGTTTAGGAATATGATGCACAAGTTTAATCTTTGAGCGGTCGTACTTAAAAAGTGCAATTTTTTCATAGACATTATTTTTACAAAATAATGTCTATGAAATTTCCTCAAATATATATGTCAATATATTAATGATCGTGTGTCGATCATGAAATTAAATATAAAAAGGCTGAAGAAAGAGAGAATCACGCGCCCGCTCTAAGATTAACGTGCGATTTGCTTTTGTTATATGTTTGCGAATCGAATTATCGATTAATGATCAATTAATAAGTAAATAATATAATTATAATTACATAATTATATAAAATATTATATAATTATTAATTATAATTTACTAATGAGAAATTTAAGAGTTCGGGGGAACATACCTAACAGCGTTAAAATAATAATAATAAAAAAAGAGAAAACTATACGTGTGAATAGTTAAGTAAAATATATTCCATTGCGCGAAGAGTGTGGCCTGTTAGGTGACGGGTAGAAAAGAGAAACTTTGAAAAAAAAAGACATTTCCATTTTTTTTACATATATACTTTTAGATGCGATTAATGTAACGGAGATATGACTCGCTGCCTCTTATAAATATTACGTAATGCGATTAATTTTATTAACAACTTCTCAACATATGACTTTGTTTCTTTTTCACTTACCGAGAAGTGCTGTATGATGCTAATAATAATAATAACAACAACACAATGATGACGATGCAATGATAAAAAGATGATAACAGACACACGCACACGCATGATATTTCAGGAAGGATTATATACTCTCGACCCGTTTCATTTATATTTTTCATTTTTAGGCGACTGTTGCGCATCATGCAAATGTAAAAAAAATGTATATATGATATTACCGCGCGCGTATGTTTTTTTCTCACGTTCGTATTTTCTAATCGAAGTCGTGGTGCGTCATGATCAGGATACGGATCCTGCAGTTGCTTGCGTCCTCGTCGATGCCTAAATTAAGCATAGCTATTAAGCTACGTACGCAGTAATCTCGCGAGACCGGATAGGGTTTTCCCGAATGGGGATAACAATGCCAACTCCGATCCTCTAATGTCAACTGACAGCCGCATTGTATAATATTTCAAGCAGATTACATTTTGGAAGGATCCAATGGAAGAAGCGACGCTTTATGCACGCTGCGCTGATAAGGCTTATCGAGTATCTCGATCGGCGGTGTGAAAAACACCGCGCGCGCGCAGCTTGTAGAGACGTGTAATTTACGAAGGTACACCTACGTGCAGGTCTAAATGAGCTTTGTGCAGTTTTTTATAATCGCTCTGGGTCTATACTTTTAAGATGCGTCAATACGCCTGTTGTATTACTGTTGTAATCGGAATAAACACGTTTTCGCACTCAAGACCGAGGATGAGACACGAATATACGGATGTCGGTGTGGTATGTGCTTGAGAGAATCACTGTCAAAAGATGTAGAGTATCAGAATAGTGTTTCTCTATCATATACACACGCACACACACACAACTCTGTGTCATGTTCTCACACCCTTCCTTCTCCGGTTTCAACGCTATCGTAAGTTTTTATTTTTCTGATTGGAAATGATACATGTTAGCAGTAAATGTAGTCATTTACAGTTTTACATTTATTATTATTGCACATTACAGATGTCGGAGATTAGAATTTTTAATAATAAACAAAATAAGCTGTTGATACTTTATTTCGCAAAAGTATGATATAGCATAATTTAAAAAAGAGATAATAAACTGCTCATAGTCATTTTAATTATCATAATAACTTCAATATTTAGCTATTCTTTAAATATACAGTTCTAATGAGTATATTGCATTCTTTATATCTCTAGTATCAAAAATCTTTTTAAATTATGAATTTATTACCTTTGCATTAATAATCAATTGATAAACATAAAAAATGCTAAATACATTAAATTTTTCATGTGGAAACGTACAAAACTTAATAGTTATAATAATAAATGCAAAATATTTTTTGATAAATCAGTCTCACGTGAATATGGAAACTTCATAGTGAAGACAACAAAAAAAGTCTATGATGAATAAATTAAAAATTTTTAAAAATATAATGCTTACAATGTTTCTAATTACCTATTTTCTGATATTTCTTTAGTCTTGAAAAATTAAATTTTTCCGACTTGTCTTTTTTAGATTCAAAATTCTAGAAATCGGGAATTTCCATATCATTCGATTATTACGTTTTAATATTTGTCCAAGTTTAATTTTTCTTTATTAATCTAGACTAGAATCTAAAAATAAAACTAAAAATTCTTAAAATATTAATATTATTTTTTATATATATATTTTTTCTTGACGCTTCGTTTATAAGCTGTTATTTTTTATAATTCTCTTTTACTTTTAATGTATTTTCTATATTAACAATATAATGTATTCGATGTTTTCCCACTCTTGCACGGAATACAGGCGCAATCCAGATATTTCTTATGCTATGGATCGAGTGTTAAGACACTCAATATCCCAATATACGCATCATGGATTAATGCAAATAGAATTACCAGCTTCAGCATATGATTCCTCATGTGGATCCTCGAGTTACTACTTGACCTATATGAAGCATGCCAGGATTTAATCAAAAGTCCGCTTATCCGCCCGACGATCCTCGATTTACAAAGACGAGATTTGATTATTAAATGTCGCAATGATGTCTCATGACATCAATTATTAATTTACATTGGCGAAGAATATTTTCTTTTTAATATATACTTTTAATATATACTTGATTATTCAGTTAATAAGATATTATTGCAAATCAATTCGAGATCTTCGCAATTGCAGTGTCAAAATATAAACTGTAATATAAATCGGAACTGTTATTTATATGTATACGTATATGAATAAAATTCTCCAAATTTCATTTTATAAAGAATTACAAGAAATTTTAAGAATAAGAAATAAATGAAAAATAAACTGAACTCGACGTTCATAATCAATACTTCTGTAATTCTAAATTTAATTAAATTCTAACTCAAGTATAGAATATTAAAAAAAAACTCTAAAAGACTTAAAATTCTAATTAATTTTTTATATAAATAAGACGCTTGCTTATTCTTCTGAAATAAATTAAAAGCTTA